TGGAGATGTTACCACAGAAATTACATGAATTAATACATGTAAAATATTAATGTAATTATCCACTACCTAATAAACTATGTCAGTGTGGATTATTACTCTGGTAAGAGAGGAATCCTTCCACAATCATTCTAAAGTTTCTGCCAGGGAAAATAAAACTGTCAAAGAGAGTTTAACTCATGGATCATGAAAATTCATTTTGTAAAATTTTAGATGACAGGGACTTAAAAATGCCAGACCACAGGCAGGCAGTACTCACAAGCTCTCCTAGAACATTTAAAACAGATTTTATTCATTTGTGCATATGATACAAATGATTAAATTCATGTTGGGAGATCAGTACATGCACGCATTGCATTTGATCATTTTTAATCACCCTTCTCCTCTTAGGCCTCTCTGCTCTTCTATTCCTAAGCTCCCCTCCCTCTTCAAAACTACCTTCCTATTTCCTACCATCTCTATTTCATTATCTTCATTAAATTATTTACACAAAGTGTCATTCACATAATGGACACCATGCATTCCAGGACATTTGTGCACACCACAAATACACAGCTCCTTCAGCACATAAAGGAACCATAAGAAGTCACTGCATTGTATCTTGGGTGAGCAGCAACCAGGTCAAACCCAGATCTATTGGGGTTTAGAAAGACGAGTAAAGTAGCAGAAGGAATCCATGCCAATGAATGAAGATTTGCTTGGTGTGGGGAGGGAGAGTTCCATCCTCCAAACCCACCAGAGACATTTCAGCACATTCTATGAGTGCTGACTTTATGACAGGACAGAGAACTATGGCTACAAGAACAGAGCCTGGAGTTCAGTCCCATGAGCAGGGGCAATACTTTCAATTCCCAGTATTTTTCTCTGGATAGGGACAGCCTGGGGTCAGGAACCATCTCAGAAGTCTCTTCATTGGCCTTAGGAGAACCAGGAAGAACAGCACTTCAGCAGGGGCCTTTCTGAGAGCCAAGTTCAGTATCTCTAATGTGGTAGGTAGAGTAGAAGAGAAAGCCCCCACATGCTTTCTATCTATGGGGCTCTAAAGCAATTTCTCACTAGGGAACCAGTGCCCCCTTGATAGTTAGGTTGGGTCCAAGAGAACAGTGACTGTGATCCATAAAAAATAAAATCAAAAGGAGTGAAAGGCCAACATGGAGAAGGACAGGAAGCAAATACCAGAGGTGGTTTGAACACTGCAGCAGGAAAATAGCTGGGCCAGAAGAGGGTTCAGAGTGGGTGGGCATCTGAGTCAGGCAGCACAGCTGGGGAGGTGGGGCTCTCACAGCTCCTTATCTCCCCAGAACTGGATCACCCAGGCCTCTCCTCCCAGCTTGGAGTCATCCACAGTCTTCTCAGTCCCACTGCCCATGCTTCCAAGTCAAGGACTGGGAATTCAAAAAGCTTTGGCCCATTGCCTGTCTTTGGTCCCTTTCCACTGACAGCACAGCTGAGAGATTTGCCAGGCTATCTCACTGCCAGGTACAGAGGAGACTAAAGTTTCAGGTTGGGTCCATTGTCACCATTGGAGAATGGCCAAGACTTCCCATAATGCACAGAGGCAGAAATAGCTTCTGCTACTTGGACAGAGGTGGAAAAGGAGACCTGGTGTCTTCATAAAAATGGAGAGATTGTTACATTCTTCTTTTTATTAGCCATAGTCCAATAACAGAAGTCTAGGGAAAAGAGTCTCCAGTACATGCTCCCACAAGGAAGAATAGTGAGAGTGCATGTGTGTGTGTGTGTGTGGGGGGTTATGTGGATATATATTTGTGTAAAAGTACAAGATATGCTTTGGCTCCTGTCCTGTATTACATGGTTTTTTTCATGTTCTCCAGCAACACAGGTTGTTACACTGGGTTTTCTAATTTTATTGAAGATACACATGTGTGATAGTTCTTTAAATGAAGTCAATATTCTTATATTTTCTCTCACTTTCCATTTGTATTCCCTTCCGTTTTCTCTCTCATTCTTTTTCCTCTCACACCCTCTCTGATCTCCCCTGCTTCCCTTTCTCTTTCTATATGTAAATATTCATGAAGGCATATTTTCTACAAGCCTAGCCTAACTTATTGTCATCCTCTTTGTTTCTAGGTTAGTGAAAGGAGATATTTTCAAACAAGTGTTATCTCAACTCATCTGAAAATTAAAATTTCCTTACTTTGAGAAATAGCATAGACATCCAGATAGTAGTGGGAAATAGTCATAAAGAGGAAAAACCCTATAACATGTCTTACTCAAGATGTTGAAAACTCAAAACTAAGAATATTAAAAGTAGAGAGAAATGCTAAACCACTTACAGTGCCAAACCTACCAGAATAAAAATGGATTTCTCAACAGAACCTTTACAAGTGAGGAGGACTTGGAATGTTGTGTTTCATTCCCTGAAAGAAAATATTTACCAACCTATATTACTGTATCCTAAAAGCTTGTCCTTCAAATATGATGCAGAAATAAAGGCTTTCTAAGAAAGTATAATCTAATGATTTTTTTCCATCTGAAACTTGGAGACACATTTTACAAAGATTGAGAGTTGATCAGTGGGAGTGGACAGGAGTGGTGGGTTAGTAAAAGACTGATAAACTATCCACAAAGGGGTAAAAGGACAGATTAAAATGAGAATAAGTAAATAGAAAAGAACCAATCAAAGCACAGTGAACAATCTAATCCTATAGGAACAAATATAACTCACTATTCCTCTTAGGGTTTTAAAAGGAAATCACATGTTCCAAGTACATTTTAAAGCCTTAGAAATACGGCATTGAGGCTAAACATACATAGTATCTATCTTATGAACATTACAGCAAGGTAATAGTGGATCTAATTTGTAGTCAAAACTCATAGCCAAAAATATTGAAATAGAAGTTTAAGGGGTTAGCTAGGAAAGGCGCTTAACTATAGCAAAATTAAAGAATTATTTTTAAGGAGCAAAAAGTGAGGTGTGCACAATGA